GCTGCGAAGCTGCCATTGGGATTGAGAACGCCCTGGGTTGTTAGCTGATTTCGGATGTACGAGTGGATAGTCATTTTATGCCTACAGAAAAGAAGGGCTCTCCTGGTTTTCGCTTGATAAATCACTTCGTCAGTCGTCGAGCTTACGAAAGCAGAATATATGGCCCACCTATATACGACGAGCTTCAGCTCTCCAATGCGCGGGTCATCGAAGATACTCTGGATAACCAGTGGACTCTGAAATATAGCAGGAATGGAAATAGAACAACTTAGGGGAGTGAGTGACTCTCCTTGAAATTCCACTCCAGTGGTAGTCTCTTCGCCTCTTACTCTTTCGTCAGATAAATATAAATAGGCTGTGGTGGGTGAGACTCACAGTGGTGTGCCTTCTGCAGAGTATTCTTGATAACAAATGAAGAATGCACAGCCTAAGTCGGCCATTGGGGCCAATAGGTCTTGATTGACCTTAGTGATGGACAATGGTGGTAAGGACATTCCGGCAAGTCTGTTTTATTGATTTTCACTCGAAGGGCTAGGAAGTAGGGTTATATAGTAAGAGTTCTCTGGATATAGGTACATAGCTAGGAGAAACCATCTATCCATATATATTAAAGCTATCGGTGAGCGAAAAGTCTACATTACGCCATAAGTTTGCCTTTTAAGATCATAGGGTGGCTTGCCTAATCTGCGGTGAATCCCTACTAGGCAAGAAAACGAGTAGAGGATCCCGGGCAACCTTTACCACGTCATTCGCTTCCTCCGGGATCAGTTCCTTATAGTATTCACCAAACTTAGTCGTTATAATCTCGGTCAGGACGAGGCGTTTTAAGGAGTCGATAGTAAAGTTCACGCTTGCCATCTCGTTACAAGGGCTATCTCCATTTTGCTTACGCCCAGCCTACTATATCGATTGATGAACACTTACAATTTCTTTCCTGGCTGTTCGAAGGCGCACTACCACACTGTCTACCCGAATCCCTAGGAGCACCTGAACGCATAGCATGGCCGGCACGTCACTTAGCGATTCCACGGAGCTTTATAGAGCCCCCCGGAAAGGCGTGCCGAGGTTGTCTGAAGAGGTGGACCTCATATTGAAGCTGAGAAGAGACGAGAAACGACCCTAGTCGGAGGTGACAAGGTTATTTTCAGACCAGTTTCCGGGCCGGAGCCCCGGCTCCATTCAGGTATTCTGGAGCTCGCATCAAGAGTCCCTTTTTAACAGGTAGATACTGTACAAAAGCAGCTATGTAAAATGCCGTCCGCATTAGAGTGCTCTATTCTTGAGGGTCGACTGCCAAGGTAGGTAGCATTATGCTTCGTGGAACCTCCCGGAAACGCATGTTGTGGTTGCCTGAACAGGTAGACACCGCTAGTTTTGAGTGCTGCAAGGCGTCATGCCCCAATTAGATAACTGAAGAGAGAAGTAAATTGATTGATGATAAAGTTCCTACTCGACGACCTATGCCCATTGAAAATGTCTCCTTGAAAAGAAGAACCACTAAGTTGACTAGGATAACTTATATAGAACGAAACAATGGCTCGAATCCATAGGACGTAACATTGGCAGATAACGCGTTTTAAATAAGACAATGGACATTCAACGGAAAGCATTAACAAGGTTCTCCACCGTTGCTGTCGGCATGTACCAGACGTCTGGACGCCCTTGTAAGTGCAATTCGGCTGTCCAGTGTATCTTTCCTCTCACCATTCCGTGAGGCAGAACTTGAGTTAACTTATACATCCCAGAGATGACTGAGACTCCTTCAAGATTGGCGATAACCTGGGAATGGATGTACGTCCCTAACTTCAAGACGAGTTTCGTCAACATCCCTTCCTCCGTATTTGAAAACGCTGTATCTTGAAGCCAGCCTTGCATCATGGCCTCCATTTCCAGAAGTATACAGCTTTGGTCTTCACCATCATGATGACGAATCCATAGACCGCCATATATTTCAGCAAGCATGAGCTCCGTTGTGCGTCGGGAGAGAGTAAAGAGGCGTGAGCATTCACTATGCCATTTCCGGGAGATGAGCCTGTAGGAACTGCCTCCTATAGCGGGAGACCTACGCATGCGCACAACTACCACGTCTATATTATATCAACTTTCATCTCCTAGTAAATAAGGACATGACGCAGATCCTTACCTTTAGGAACTTGATAGACACCTGGCATGGTTTCGCATAGTGTTTTTATGTCTGTATCTCGGGAAACTGAAAAAAGTGGCCCCAGTAGCCGCCAAATATGATCGCAATCATTAGATTTTTGAAGGGCTTCATAGACATGAGCAAGTGGGAAAGATGTACTGGACCCGCCGCACTCGCGTAGTAACATGTCATCGATAGGCTCGTACAAGGACCCTGCCTTGATGAAAAAATCTGTCAAAAATTTAGCTAATTGCTTGGCCTGATGGGTATGTTTTTCTAACCATAAGGAGCGTTATAGATCCCCTTCCGTATCCTCGAGAACTCGAGGTAGGGTTCGCTAGATACTAAACCCCTCGTGTTAGTTTATAAAAGCAAGATCAGTGTTATATATAGTTTAACAGACATACCACCTTGAACAAACTGCATCTTTACTCTATGGTGACCACTAGTAGATCTGTAGAGCTTGAGAATTGATAGTATTAAAAGAAAATATATGTGGTATGTCTCCTCTAATTTATATAAATAGATATGAAGTAAGAACGAAGCGTTAAGTGTGTAAAGTGCACACTTAATGTACCCCTGTTAGTGATCGGCAAACTAGTAAGAGCAGTCACTCTCTTATATTGATAAAGGTTTTGGTTGCGAATGAGGCTGCAATTTGAGAGCTAGCACGCAACCATGCACTATCGGGCATATCCGCATTTCACTCCTTAGTTGGGATTTTGGGACTCACTTACGTACTCCCTCTCATTTACGATAGTACCCCGCTCATTCGCTTACTCCTCGTTCACAGCGCTTTCAGCCTATCATGGCCAATTTATTTTCGTCGCAGCAGCGTCGAGTGTCATTTATTCACTGCAAATATCGCTCGAGCCTCTAGAGAAACGCTCAGGCCATCTGGCTCTAATTTATAAGACACGATTATCGTTTTCTTTACAGATAGTTCTCTTCGACTCCAGAGCACCAAGAGCACCGAAAGCACTCCTCGACTGTTGATATATTGTTTCAAAGGCTTCTTCAAGTGACAAAGGTCAATTATACCGCTCTGCTATAGCATAACTCACTAAGATAAATTACAGATGTGTACTTGGATGCAGATTGTCCACAATGGTTGTCGGGGATGCTTCGGGGGTATCACTAAAACCCGACCTTGTTCAGTTGGTAATTGTCAGCCTACCACACAAAGCCCTCGACAGGAAACCACCTTTGATTACCAAAATACGAAGTGCGCTACCCATTCGTTGGAAACACCACCTAGCAGCCAAGAGGAGTACCCCTAAACGTAGGTTCTCTCTTCCCTTAATCAGCCAAGGACTTTCGGTGTATTATTCCTCAAATAGGACCATATATCGAACTTGACATGCTAATCTATAAAAGGTTAGTCAGATATATGGAAAATGGGGATACGGGACAAAGGGGATTATAGGACCATTGTGTTTCATTCATCAGACATGTTGTTTCCGATTTCCTACCACAATCACCACCATGTTCATCAATAGCCACTTAGGCAGCTTCTGAGAATTATATGCAAGATTATATGAGGTCAGCCTCGTGGTGAATAAAACGACGAAGTTTCGAAAATTCAAACGATTCGGATTATAGTATAGGGTTTGCCTACGGCTATAGTAGAAATGTTAGGACGACCGAAGCTGCGTACAATCTGTCCATCCGGAAGATGATGCATTAATCCTAAATTCCTCATCGCATTTATGGCTCTTTTACGCTAGCACCGACCTTTCGGGCAAGAATGCCTCGAGCATATAGAAATGATGGTTGAGAATCTCTCATTACGGATGTAGTTTGGGACGGCTCGGTATCCTGCATCGGTGACGGAGCTCTATAAAAATATATTCGACAATATCGCTCCGTTGACAGCAGAACCATACTTACGTATGGACGTCGGCGGTGGGGAATGCAAAATACTCTCCTTTTGAGCAAAAAGACCATAGTGGCCAATTACGGCAGGTAAACAAACAAGAAGCAGCTTTTGTAATTGCAGGTTGACTAAAAATATCCAGAGAGAAAAAATTGAGCAAAGTTGGAAGAGAGTAAGAAATATCAGGCCCGTAGACGACGGGGTGAGTCGTACACACGAGGTCCGGTGTGGTCGTCAAACAAAGGTAATGGCTTTTTCCCATGCATGTCGTGCATTTCCGCAAGAGTCTCTGCCAGCTTTTGGTCCTGAGGCTCATGTCTGAAAATTTTGGGCGCTCTGGATAGCCGTAGAATGTAGACAGGGACCTTGGTTAGACACTTATGAGCAGAATCAAAGTCATATCCGACATTGTTAAGGTCGAGGACGAAAAAGGAGCGGCGCCCTTCAAACTTGTTTGCAGCAATCCAGCGAGTTTCAGCGTCTGGGCGGCAAGTAGCAACGGCACTTTTGACTTCTTCGATAATTGTTTCGATTGATTTCAGAAATTCGGAATGATCAAGAATGCTATTAGGTGTCTCGCCAACGATCCTAATTGGTGGAATTGGTGTCGAAGGGCGATATAAATTGAGGAAGTCCCTTATAACCCCATGAATCTGCCCAATGATTGAAGCACGATACTCCATGCCGAATTGACAATCTTTGTACTGATATTAAGCTGAGCGAGGCGGTATTGGAATCAACCAGATGAATAAAGTGTCGAGATTCTGTTATTGTAAGATAAATATGATACCAACAAATGTGAAGGTTGCGAATGAATCTAGGGGCAGGGGTACGTACAAAAGGATCTTAATAGTACCGAAACACTGTATCACATGATCCTGGAAAAACGTTCTGCCGGAGCCGTGACTTCCCTCTCGTTGTCAAGGTGGCCCCATGCATTGACTTCTTGGGGCATACGTTACGTCCCATTCCAAGAGGCCGATGGCTAACAACAGCTCCCCAGATTACAAATCTCTCTATCTACAGGCAGAAGAGAGACGGAGGCAGGAGGAGGAGAGACGGAAGCGGGCTGAAGAGCGTACCCAACCGACCACTTTCTTGGAGTTCTTGCGCCATTCCCACAATGTACTCTCCCGACCGTTGAGGGTTGAGACACCATCTCGCTCGACCAGCGGGAAGATACCGCTTCCAACCGGGAAATATTGCCCGACACGGCTGGAGCATTGGGCTGACTGCCCAGCGCAACAGTCGGAGCTTTACAGGTCCGTCTACAGTTACCTCCAGTTGACACCAGGAGGGGCGCCGCGTCTGTTTTCATCTTTGCATGAGCTAGAAGGATTAGGCCGACGACTTGTTCGCAAGCCTATAAGCAGTGAGCAAGAACTTGAGGCTTATGAACGGTTCGCCGTGGAAGAGTACGTCAACGATATAATAACGGAGTTGTGCAAGATACCCGCTGCTCGTGAAGAGTTCGGTCTTGGTGATGGCATCCAGTTCAGCAGTCATACGAATTCCTTGAACGATAACGATGCTATTGAGGCAGACATAAGCCAGCCGTCAAGTGTTCACCGCCCCAGACCTGATCAATTCTGCATCCATCGTGTCGACGGCAATACTAAAAGTCTCCTTACGACCGTCGAGTATAAGCCTCCCCACAAACTCTCCGTCGTAACCCTACGAATGGGGCTTCGACCAATTGACCTATGGAAGGATTTGGTCCGATCAAATAAGATACCCACGAACCAGGAAGCAAAGTTGAGGTACAATACAGCGAGACTCGCCTCCTCCGCTCTTATCCAGGAGTATCATGTGATGATTCAGGACGGGCTCGAGTATTCCTACGTGACCAACGGGATCGCCCGTGTCCTTCTCCGTGTTCCACGTGACGATCCTAGCACGCTTTATTACTTCCTATGTGATCCTAATAGTGAGGTGCATTCAGAAGACGAAGAATCTTTCCTACAGCCCGAGACGTCTATTTTAAGGACCCTATGCCTATGTTTAATGGCTTTCCGCTCACCCGTGCGCGGCCAGGAATGGAGGAATTCTATACGGCCTAATCTTCATACCTGGGAGACCAGTTTTGACCACGCTCGTTCTAAGATTCCCAATATAGAACTGCAGCAGATTGATCTCCACTCCGATAGTACAACCATGGATTTCCCGAGTCCAGAATCTGGCTCATCTTATGCGCTACCATCATCTCCACCGGATTCGCCTATAACGGGCGGCCGTCGAGTGCCCACTAGGTCCCAAGCCACCTGTGCACCTCCTGACAAGCAAACCCGCTCCCAGTCGCCGGATTTATCCGACACCGACACGAACCACGCAATGGGACGGAAGCGTGGATTTAGTCAAGTCATGTCCTCACCATCTGCCCGACAAGCCACTAGCCGTCCCGAAGTCAGTGACAATCAAGGCAGTCAATCACGGTGCCACGATACGCAATTTTGCACGCAGCGGTGCTTGCTTGGGTTACAGACTGGAGGCGTCCTAGATGACTATTGTCCAAACGTGACGCTCCATCGTCGGGACCGAGACAGCGCCAAACATCTCATCACCCTAGAGGATCTGGTGCACCTACTGAAAATAGAATTAGACGAAAACATTGACCGATGTATACCTTTTGGAAGGTGTGGATCATATGGTGCTCCCTTCAAATTGACCTGTGCCGCATATGGCTATACTGTCATCGGGAAAGGAACTACGTCTGGACTGTGGAAAGAGGTCTCCGGGGAAGCGCAGGTGTACCAGATCTTGCGAAAAGCTCAGGGGTCGGCCGTGCCTGTTTTCCTAGGCACAATCGACTTGGCGAAGATTTACTTTCTTCATGGAGCCGGGGAAATCCGTCATATGCTTGTCATGGGATGGGGTGGCATAAGCACATCAACGATGGAGATGTCGCCTCGGCTTCGCGAGGAGATACGCAAGTCCTATAAGGAAATCAAAGCTTTGGGAATTGTCCACGAAGATCTTCGGCGTGACAATATCCTTTGGAGTGAGGAACTAGGACGGGCCCTAATCATCGACTTCCATCGCTTTACTTTGAAATGTCGACCGAACCAGCAACGACTCCAAGCCGCAAAGCGACGCCAATGTGGAGCCGAGACAGGAACTACAAAACGTCTTCGTGTTTCCTAAAATGTGAAGATTCGCGTCTTTTCTTCGATTTGTTGCGTTACAATATCCTTGTAAATGCCGTTACAACGCCTTCTTTGACCGCAGGTGCCAATACTTTTCCAATAACTTATCGTTCTCAGTGGCAGAATGCTTCTCCCATACTCTACGTTATTATCCAAGCCGGGCTCTTAAGCCACAATTGTTTACGTGGAAAAAGTCATGTATCAAAGATGTGTTTATTCCTTTGAATGTTGAATTCAAAATCTCTCCATAATACCATCGTGTAGTTGCGGTCAGATTTGTGACATGTTCGATAATCCTCAAGCGGAATCAAAGCGAAGTCAACATTGCAACCTTTCACATTACTAAACATACATCCCGTCAACGGGGCTCGGTCTCCCAAATAAAGCATTGACGTTCGCATCACTATGTCATAACAACATGAGGCCGGTTACGCTTAAACCCGTGTCCTGAAAGTCTACTGGTGAAACCGTGGCCTGTCCTAGGAACGATGATGTATCCGGTTGTTCATAACGATAGGTTGTCCACAGCAGCGTGGGGGAAGAGGGATTCGTCGGTCATCGAAGCGTTGAAAAGATTTTCCAGACAGGTACGACAATATTCATGACGACATGGTACACGAACCACGTTGACAAACTCCGTGTCTTCTGCACAGGCTATACAGCGATGCATTGGTGATGGTGCCTGACGGATTCGGCACGCAGCCCAAGCAGATGATTCGGTTTGCTCTATCTCTGCACTGGTTCCGTCCACGCTGTCTATGCCCTGGTAACCTTTAATGCCAGACACATATAAGATCTGGAGCAAGGTCGGCACTTTGCAAGATAAGTCTGAAGATCTCCATTAGCCATATAAGCAAGTTGCGTGGCTTCAGTTGAAACCCAAGACAGCGGACAACACCATCAGAACGGTCATCTTCCCCACCGCCAGGAACTTGTCACGAGGCCGACAAGGATCTTACTCCGCCCGAAGTCAGATTTACTTGCGTACGTGCCTCGCCATCACCCTCGCCAGATTTGCTGGGAACTCAGCACCCCCAAGTGGGACATGGCCTTGAAACCATCATACGTGGTGAATCTATCGTGGACGACACCAGCGCCGCGCCAGAAAGCTGCGGAGATAAAGCGGGAGACCGGAGGGACGTGGTGACCACAATAAAAAGCGTCCAGAGTAACCGCCCCTTAGTCGGAGAGGCTGGTCTTGATAACGATGAAAGAGGCAGACCGGCCAAGGAAAGTCAAGCGCTAGCATTCTCTCGTCTTAGGCAGCGAACTCGTCTAGTCAAGCAATTGAAGGTCGCTCTAGCAAGCACCCGTTCCCTCCGGCCTCGACCAAATGCAGAGTCCACCCGATCAGAGCGATTGCCTGTTGTTTCCGTGGTCATTCCAACCCGTCGAACCGATGAACCAGTGGTAAATACCAAGACGAATCCTCTAACCAGAGCACGACGTTATAGCAATCAGGGCGGTAGCAACGATCGGCCAACACTGACCGTGACGGGGGAGTATTCACCATCTTCAGGTGGATCTAGTCCTCAGGGAAGAGGACGCCCACGGAAGAGACCCAAGAGGGCAATAGAAAACACCTCTCCCTCGACCCATGACGTCGTTCGGAAATGCACTAGCCAGCCCCAAGCTCCCTTAGATGGTGGTTTGGCAGTCACCCTAGGTGAAACACGAGAGATCTTCGGTCGCGGAGTTCTCCGTATTCAAGCTCACGGTCCTCGACATGCTTATTTCATGACGTTCCTCCCAGATGTTCCTGACCGCCCGTCTATACCATCACCGTCTGAGATGCCTCCCGATCAGTCTTCACGCCCTGACGATTTCTCTAAGAATGCATCCTCGCGACAAGTGCCATGCAGGGGACGTCGTGAACGAACTCTGTCCACATTGTATGAGGATGGAGATGAGTGGCACTTAACGAAACCGCCACGGAAGGCGCGATCTCATGATGATCGCAACAAGGCCAAGCGAAAGCCCAGGAGGCGCTTACCGTGGTCTTCGGAAGAGGTGGATCTTCTGGTGGAGTTAAGAAGAGACGAGCGACGTCCGTGGTCAGAGGTGACGAGGTTATTTTCAGACCGATATCCGGGAAGGAGCCCTGGTGCAATTCAAGTATACTGGAGTACGGTCGTTCAGAAAGCACGACAGAATAAGGCCATGTCAGCTGTTTGACACCTTCGCGTTGGGCATTTCAAGCATGCTTGTGTGATTGTTACGGATCCCGATAGACAGAATGATAGACTCAATCTTTTTGGCTTGGAAGCCTACACGGGCAGAGAAATACCTGCTAACAGTGTGGTCCAAAGCATATTCTGAACTGAGTTCTCTTTTGTCTTGTAGATCGACATGATCCTTCGTCAATCTCAAAAGTTGAGCTAACAAACTTCTTATTATATGCCTCCATATTTTCCCGATCCATTGACCATCTTGGTCCGCCGTTGACTACCGTTCAGTAATGCTTCGTTAAAACCTCCGCCAGCTTGATAAATCAGAGGGTTCTCATTACTCTGCTTCTGATTGGTCAGCTCCTTTTACTCCCTTCTCCACCTTGGAGTACACACGATCTCGTACTTTACCCTTACGACTGGTGCTAAGAGCCGGTGCAATCCCGAGGGTATCGAGAGAGAGGAAGGAATCACGACTTCTTCAGCTGAACAATCAAGCGTAGGTGCCAAAGTCGTCCATGTAAAACATACCTGTTCCTCAAGAAAAGGATTACCTTGGTCCGCAGAAGAGTCGCCTTCTGGTGCAGCTTAGGGAGGAAGAATCTCTTGCGTGGTCGGAAGTGATTGAGCGATTTGATCAAGATTCCCTGGGAGGAGCAAAGGTTCCATACAAGTGTACTGGAGCTCGACACTCAAGAAACAACTGCAACTTGAAGACGTCGGCCTTCATGCTGAATACTCGAAAGGGAAGTCCCGAGACCCACAGATGAATAGCTGGCATTTCGGTTACAAAATGGCGATTTGGAAAGCATGTCCCAGTTGCTCACCGATAGACGGATGGGCATGAGTTTCGCAGCCGCGGTTCAAGCTGATGCGCAGATTTTGGTTGACAGCCTGAGTAGATAGTAGGATAGTAGAATTGCCTTGGCACATCTCAGATCTATAGTTCTACTACTTGCATGATCACGTGATGCGTTTTGTGCACAACCCCGTATTACGCGGATCACGTGATCCTGTTCATCCAGGGGCGGCCCCCGGATGAACAACAAGGAAGGCGGTGTGGACAGGCAGTTTAGTCGGTTGGTTCTCGACGGTCCGTCCGTGAAGAGCAAGATAAGCCACTAACTTGCGCTTTCCATTATATTACCCCTCCCTCCCTGCCATCCACCCAATCTTATCGGTCGGTATGCTACTAAGTAAAAACATGTCGCTATGACGCCCCAAATGGAAAATAACTTGAAGACGTCTGACGTGCGGGTCAGGAGTCGGTCACATATTTTCACCCCTCACAAATTTCGGGGTTTAGACGTACTGAAATTGTAACTTTAAGGGACTTTCCAGATCAGCAATTCTCTTGTGGATTTATTGTGTTTGTTTCCGAAAAAGCTGGCTCTCACCGCTTTTAAGGGTAGATCATTTGAAGCGGAACTAAACCGTCCATCCCTGGAACTCTTTCGACCTGCAAGCGCAACGGACCCAAATCCTTTTTGACCTCATTTTACTTCCCTTCCCGAATTTCTTCCATCGAAATGTCCCCAAATCCGAAACCCGACATATTCACTTACGCTGATTTTGACCTTCAAGCTCTGTGCCGTCAAGCGAGCACGCTGCGGCAGGGTGTTTCATGTGCTTGTGACCCGGATCAACGTCCTGCCTCGGGAAGTTTCAACTGGGCTATCTTTATTTCGTTTGAAGATAGGGTACGATGGGTCTTTAGATCTCCACACCCTAGAACGTTTATGCCAATGGAAATGGGCATAAAGCTACTGGCAAGTGAAGCTGCCACGCTCCGATACCTCAGGGCTCATAGCGATATTCCAGTTCCAGAAGTATACGACTATTGGTAACGAAATCTCCCAGACCGTAATGTTCTAGTCCTAATCTATCATAGTGCTTCGTCCGATAATGACATCGGTATTCCGTTCATTTTTATGAGTGAGGCGCCTGGTAGGCCACTGTCAAAATTTTGGAGATCAGTCGGTTCTCCTCAACCTGACCTAGAGACTACCAGTAAAGCCAAAATTCTCTCCCAGTTAGGCGGTATTACCTGGAAGCTTTCGCAGTTGCGATTCGATAAAATAGGCTCACTGTTTGAAGATGAATTCTTCGAAATCAAGGAATGTCTCTCACGTGGTCACATGTTACATGGACGATATTCTTTGGAGATCCCACGAGGGCCTTTCACTTCCGAGGCAGAGTTCTATGACAGCCTTATCTCTGCGTTCTTAGAGCATGCAGAAATTCTGCAGTTGTCACATCATTGCTTTGTGGCACCCGTTCCTTCGCGGGACGACTATCAATCTAGCATACAATATGAGAGCGCTGTGAACCTATGGAACGACTTTGTGGCCGTTGGAGGCAAGACCGACTCGTCAGACAACAGACTGGATTATATCATCGCAGGCGACGCTCTCCGCGACATTGTACGGAAAGTTGAACTCCCAACTGTCAATTCGGAGACTTTTCCGTTATGCCACCCTGATCTGAGTGTCAATAACATATATGTTGATGATGATTATAACATTACCTGTATCATCGACTGGGCATTCGCTTCATCCATTCCTGAATCAATGCTTTTGACCACACCAGGATTGCCACAATATCGTGACGAAATTAGTTCGGAGTTATACATACCTTTTATAGATGGCTTCATATCTGCTATGCCTGGATCGATGGAAGAGAGGTTGATCCACAGATATCACGATTCCTTGGAGCGGAGCCAAGTCTCCTGGAGATTGAGTCGACTCCTTAACCTAGACTCAATTAGTGACTACACTCTCTTTGCTACAGTCTGGCACTTTGCCCGTGGGCCTGAACAGGACCTGGGCGATTACTTCTTACGACAATGGAGTTCGCCTCACTACATCGGGCTTTATAACGAAGTCCAACAGGAGGATCAGCCACGTTCGAAAATTCAAAAGGACGAAAAAGATTATTTTCGAAACAAGGATCTCAGAGAGACAATAGCTAAGAAGCTGACACTCATGTCCGAATGGAAAACACGGTTTACCGTCAATCATCCGCCGAGACTTCGGAAAGACATGTTTGTTGCTTCTCCTAAGTTATGGAAGTGGATTCAACAATTTCTGCAGGACTGGGAAGACATGTCTTGACGAGTCTACACCAGGCATCAACATCACATCAACATCACATCAACATCTCAAGCGAATGCGCTCAACTGGGACATCCCACAGATCATTAGTCTCATCGTCTTTCACCTTCTCAAAATTAGATTGCACATTAAAAATTGTTTGGGGGGAAATACCGTTTGCAATATGGTGCTTGATGTACTTGAATCAATTGTGCCTTCGCGCCATTCAGTCTCTGCGATAGCTTAGTTGATGTCTCACTTTAGACCCAAGATATCAATATGACCTACTACCCTCAAGACAGTACCAGACTACGGCACCAGCGATGTAGTATTCTCTCTTTTCCGCGCCAGTTGGTGGGGTTGGAAGATCTGGTGGGGTCGATGGCTGTGGACGTCTCTTAGGCATGGTGTTCAAATGCTGTGATATTTAATATTCTTTTCGACGTTGGTGGGCTGTTATTACGACTAGGTTCTAGTGCTAGGAGCGCTACATTTATATTCTCGATTTTTCGCACTGGCCTCTCACAACATTTCTTCCACATAGTATGGCCGCTTAACGCCGAGGCCACCTATCAGGTAGTTGGTGGCACTCGATAAAATTGACACCATAGGTCGCAAGACAAGGATGTGCTAACGGCCAGTAATATTTTGGGTCTCCCTCCATGATCCATGATCATCAACCTGAAACATACGAATATCGCTTTCGGGTGAATAACCGGATTTTATTGGCGCTTCGATGAGATCCTCCCCCCACTTGCGTCCAGGCTTTCTATGAAAGCATTCGCTAGTCCGACAGGTCCTTTTTCGGAATTTTACAAGTAGACCCACCCCCGCTTTATCAAAAACTATCCTGATCATGATGCCTTCCAGGAGATAATGCCACGTATTATAACGCCTTTATTCTGTGGGGCATGACTTAGGGAATCATCTGCGAGGCACGGGCCGCCGTCACGCCAAACTGGTGGGATTGGATATATAGAGGGGTTATCTGTACTGATCGCTTATGATTGGTAGTCCTCTAGGAGCGCTCTACTTTGATAGTTCTGGCCCCAGTTAATCTTTCAGTAAAGGGCCTGGGCCCTCCCGAGGTTGTTATGGATTCGGATTCGGATTTAGATTCATTCGCATCCGTCCCGCCGCGTGAAAACTTATCAGTAGTATTCGAAATCAGCTTTACCACCACACTCTCTCGAACTAATTCCTGAACCCTACCTCCAAACACGCTAATCTAATTTTAGTCCTTTCCCCAGTAACTAGAAACTATATCGAATTTACTCGGGAAAAACCACTGGGGAAACATCCAATAGGGCTTTAGGTTATTTTGCGGCTGTGGTCCCGTAATCTGGTTGCCATGCGAACCGAACCACTTGCGCACGCCATCTGAATTTGTCCCTGTGGTTCTCGCCTCCCAACGAGACAGCCGGACAAGGTGAGACTTTCTTCCGGGAAGGAGCCTTATAGCAAAATACACTTATGTTCATCTAGTATTGTGGTTGAATGGTCGGCTGGTGAATGAAAGGCTTGAGACAAGGTGGGAGCGCTAGGGTGAGGATCGATCACCACACAATTTTACCATAATGGATAAGCGGCTTTACACTAAGAAAAAAATAAATTCTTTGCTCGAGTCATGCAGTAACCAATTAACAGAGCTCTCGCGTGGCTGTGTACAGGTGCCAAGAGATAAATGTTTCAGAGACTGCGGTCATATCCAATGATATATCACTATAGCCTCGCAGAGCGGCCTAAGCGGTCAATATGCTGGCCCAGAGGATTCTCGCGCCATCCCGCACACCCGCGCACCCTCAGCACACCCTCTCTATTCCGCACTCACCCTAGGTGCGTAGGGTGACGCCAATCAAAAGCGGCGTCACCCTCCTGCTCACCCAGGCGAC